TTAATCATTTAATGACCGAATTAATTCCAAATAACAAAATATCGACTCAAACCGTTAATCTTTTGTTTTTGCGACATTGTCAACCAACACATGCGAAATTATGGCTTACTAGTAGGCTTGGGACACTTCGCGACCCGAAGGACCAACATTCAAATGAGTATAACTTTTGTTTGAAAAGTTATTTTAAAAAACTGTTCGACAGTTTTGTTCCTTAACTCGTTTAGTATGTACACAACAAATTTCGTGGAATTATCTCTATTTTCGTTGTCCCGCCAAGAATTGCAGTGGAACTTTTTTTTTCGAATTTTCAAAAACTAATTTCAGATTCGTGATTTTCATGTTAAAAAACCCCCAGATACCAAATTTCGTCGAAATCAGAATTTTTTTTGCACCCTAGTTTAGGGGTGCGCCCTTTAGGGGTAGGAATTTTGAAAAAAAAATTGCAAAATCGGAAAGAGCATACCCAAAAACCTATTCAAAGACATGCCACCCGACTTTGTAACTCTTATGGTTGCTGAGAAAAAAATTAAAGAAGAAATGCAGATTTCAACACTCTTTGGGGGGTGGCTCCCAAACGAAACACGTTGGACCCTCGGTTTATTTGGAAAAAGTGCTTGTTTTGATGCCCTCTACAACCCGATTTTTTTTTTCGAACGGTCGTGTAACACCCTGTATACACGTGGTTGCCAAAAATGCAACAAATTCCTGGCCAGAGCTGTGCAAAGGAATTGGTACAAAAGGCTTGGAAAGCCTCAAGCTCTTTAGAGCTTGCAATTCCAAGGCTTCAAGCCTTTTCTAAAAACAGGGCTTTGGAATTTACGTTTAAAGCCTTTTCGCGTGATCTTGGGGCTTTGGATTTCAGACAAAGAGCTTAAATTCCTTTTAAAAGAATTGAAATCACTTTTTCATTGGAAACTCCATTTTAAGGATGCAATTCCCTTTAAAGAGCTTCAATTCCTTTTTAAAAGGCTTGAAATCCTCTTTAAAAAGGCTTCAATTCCTTATATGCCTTCCACTCCCACATGATTTTTTATTTCCAATTTTTGTGAGCTTGCACTTTGCAGTACGTAGAGCTGTTAGTGCGTGCGGTGTTGTTGTTCTCTAATGGGATAAAGTGTAAGTACCTACCTCTATCTAGAGCCTTAACTAAATTATAATACAATTATATGCAATTATGCACTAGCAAGCAAGCAAACCAAACCAGCACTTGTGCAAACCAACTATATTTATTTATTACGTTACGGCTACTGGGTCCTGTATTCTCATTATATTTTATCCCTTCACTCAACGATTTTATAAAAACGAAAAACACTTGTTAGAGTAATAATCATTCATATTTTATTAGACATTTCAATTCCTTTTGCGAAGGAATTCCATTCCTTTGCCAAGGATTTCAATTTCTTTTAATTCCAAATCCCAATTCCTTTTCCTAACGGATTTCAATTCATTTTTAAAAAGGAATTCAATTCAATTTCAAAGGGCTTTGAGCTTAAGGCTTCGCAACTTTAAGCCTTTTTTAAAGGGCTTTGGAATTTTAAGCCCTTTTCGTGCTAAGAGGAATTTGAGCTTTCCATTCACCATTCCTCTTACAAGGGCTTGAGGGCTTTGGAATGAAGCCCATTGCAAAAGGGCTTTGCACAGCTCTGTTCCTGGCTACTTTTAAAAAGAGTTATAGCGCACACGGACGGACGGACGACAATATAAAACTATAAAGGCTCTGAGGATCGTTAATAATCAACAGTGAAATCCATGCGTGTGTACCGTGTTACCTTTCTTGATCTGAATTCCAAATTGGTCTTTATGCGGGACTGTGAGACGAAGGTTGGGCTACAGAATCACAGTTTACATCACAATTATGTTCAAAAGCCATTGACTGAATCAAATCGGGATTAGCGTAATTATTGTTATCATCAACCGATTCGACTACAGATTGACAATCCCTGGCTTCCTTAATAATCCCCTATACTTATTTATTATTCAAATTAGAGATGACCCATGCTGTCAACGGAATACGTCAATTTTTTTACATATCGCCATCTACTCAAAACTAAATATGCCTTAGATTTTTTTAATTAGCTGATAGTCGTAATTTTCCATGTTTATTATAGCGTTTATTCATATGCATTGTTTATCTCTGTGCATTATATTTGGTAATTACCAGATAACGCAAATAGCAAAACTCGAACAACGCGAAATAGATAGTCGGTTAGCGTAAAGCAGACGGTTCGTGCTAATTGCGTAAACTTCCAAAACAATTGTCAATGTTTCAAAGAAACTAGCATCCGACCAATTCGTAATCGGGCGTCGGCGACGCGCGCCGTCGTGAATCAAGGCGGGACTACTGCATCGGATGAACTCGCTATTTCTCCCACTAATTCACACAAATTATTTCTTCTGGAGCGCGGAATCGCAATAATTTGAATTGTAAAGCCTCGCCTTAGTAACTGAGACAGTTGGTTTTGCAGAGTCCGCGCATGTGCGAAGTTGATTTTTACATTAAGCATTACTTTTTTTAATTAAAACCCACTTATAGTTAAAATCGAGGTTAAAATGTAAAAAATCTCCATAAGAATGTTGCAGTCTGAGCATGCGCCAATTAAACGTCAAGTTTTTTTCTTGGTTCAGATAGGCTACCGAACTCAAAAAGAATGAACTAAATATACTGAAAACTTTAGGAGTAGTTCTGGCATCGGAAGGATCGACGGACGGACGGACAGAGAAAGTTGCTTCAATAGCGCACCCAACTTCGTTGGAAAATGCGCTAAAAAAAGAAGTAAGAACAAAATCTGTGGTTGAAAGGGGGGAGGGAGTTACAAGCTGCTCTACCGGTTGTTACTGTTGGCATCGAGGTTGGCATATTGTCATATTGAATTTTCATTACCTTGATATTAAAAATTTACCAAGCATTAAATGTGTGTACTAAACCATAGCCGGGTTGCAATAAGTAGGTAGTAAATTTTATAAAAACGTCAGACTTTTTGAATCAATTTGAATTTTGTTAAATTAATTCGCTTTTTTTATTGCAGCTAACGGCCTTTGCCTCAGCATTTCTTCCTCATCTTCATCTTGAGGGTCCTGATCCACTAATGTCCTGTATAAATGTATTTGCCTCTTCAGGAACAGTGTTACAACTACTTATATGTTTTTGCATATGGCCAACCCGGGCCAACTATATTAATAACACATGTTAATAAAATAACTTTCAGTTCAGGCTATACAGACTGATTCAAATGAGTGGGTCACCATGGGGATCTCGGAAACTGTAAGAGATACGCAGATGGTATAAATTTGGTAAAGTTACGTACTTTGATGCTTAACAAAATGCCGTTTTGAAACTGAAAAAATTCCGGCTACTTTCGGAGACATCCTGAAAAAAACGAAATTTTGCAAAATCGTTTTTATTTTTCACTTGCTAGCGTTTTGTTTTTTCTTGTTAACCATCATCAACTTTGTTTTTTCTTATAGAAGTCATTTTTATTACTTTTTGTGTCATTTGATAAAGCATTTTTTTCTGTTTTCAAAAATGTAATAATAACTATTTTTTAATAACAAATGGCGCCATTAATTCGTAAAAACTACAAATATACACTACCCAAAACAAAGTTTGCCAGGCAAAAAAGACCATATTTTAACAATATTTAAAAATTGCGATGTTTACGCGCAGCGCATTACAATAAGCGAGACAATAAGTTATTCCGTAGGTCAACTGAACATATATACTAATACATACAAAAATTTCAAAACTTTTTATTATAAACATTTACGGAATCTGCGAGCGTATCGGTAAATCGCGTGATTTTTCGCAATGCTTAACTTCACATGTTAACAGTTTATTTTTCAAATAAATGTCATACCTTTTATGCAATAGGTAGCACAATTCTTGCCGAAGCTATTGTAGAACAAAATTGGAAGGATCAGGTTTCATTTTGACATAATTAGCAGAAACATGCTGTTGTGGGAAATTCGTATACTTATATTGTGTGATAACAAATATAGATTTGTAAATTAACCAATATTCTGCTCCTGATATATGTACAAAATACCAAGCGGTTTTAATGTGTGAAGGGCGGCAAACGTGTTTTGTTTCGCATGTTACAACAAAATCAAATATGGCTATGGTCAAGGCATGTTTACTACCTTGAAGTCCATAAATTATTCTCGAATAAAAACCAAGACGTGAGCCGCTTTATAAGAATCATCCGGACGCAAAGTATAGCCTGCAGCGCACGACTAGTCCTCCCTGTTTCTACTATCTCGTTCCTTCACAATATTTTCATTTCTGGATCAGTGATTATGATTCATGATACCGTTTTTAATTTTAAATAGATTAGTCCAACGTATATTTCTTTCACATATAAACATGACACATTTGTGCCTCGATTTGTGCACATGCTTTTTTGTTACTCAATTTATAAAGATCTGTGTTCATAAAATTTCATTAAAAAATCGCGCATTCGTGTAGGACATAATATTTTTACGTTAAACAAAACTTGTAAGAGCTTCTGTATAAAGTATTGTCCGCTTCTAATATAGTTCGTTCAAACATCAATCACTTAATGTAATTATCAAAAGCTATACTTAGTCCTGTAGTTTTTTAATTATAAATAAGTAAATCAGTCACAATAGAAATAATATAATTATCCGCGTGTACAAAATAAGTTAAATAAACTTTCAAAGATGGAAACACAATTGTAGAAATAACCCGATAACATTAGCATTAGTACAATAACGAAATAAATAAAATTAACCGATGTATTCCAATGTAATTAACCGATTATCATTATTAACTTTCAACGAAGACTGATAAATAACGCAAAAGATCGTTCCCTTCACTCTTCGTTAGTCAGCTGGTTGCAAAGTAGTAACAACTGGCTCTCATTTTTTCGTTTAATCAAACATTTTATAATGAAAACAGTGAAATCGAACGCTATTCAGCACAAACAGCCCTAATTATTAGACAGGCAATGTGCATAACCTGTAGGCAGGGCTGTGCAGGGCTGTGATTGCTAGTACAATTGTACTAAATATAGTACATTCTAAGTACACTTAGTACGCTAGTACTCCTTTAACAAATCTAGTACGCTTTGGGATCAAATAATTTTACAGTTAGGGGTGCAAACAAATACACTAATTTTAGAATCGCCTGAAGCATTTTATTGCACTAAGAACAACAGAAGGTCCTCCTTTCACCGTTCACGTCAAAATTTATGATACCTATTAATATTATACAGTCTACAGACCTGTTTACTTCTTTGCCATGACTCATCAGTTAATTCTTATCTCTATAATGAGAAAAACAGAGTACGACACTATCTCGCTGTCCGCAATACTTACCTTGCGCTTTTCTACACCCAGACCGCTTATTAGATTGCCGCGAATCGCAACCCGTTTGAACCAGTCAGTGTTTTCAAATTTGTTTATTATTAAGTTTCTTATTTATTTTCGTACCTACTTACGGAAGTGGGCGCAGCACGCAGTTGGTTAGATTTTTGTTTGAAATGGACAAGTAAGTATGAAAAAAAAATAAATTACTTAGTCTTTTAATACAACTTATAGGTTTGTGGTAAAAAATAAAAGAAACAGAGATTCATCTGTGTCAAATGAGCCGCCTAGTGCTGGTAACGGTAACACTGCACCTGTAGCTTCCACATCTACGTCCCGTGATAGAGATCCTGGTGATGTGGATGTCATATCAGAGTCAGAAACAATCGAGGAAACAATAGTTAATGAAGACCATCACAGACAAAAGAAAAAAAGTTACAAGCAGAAGTTCCGATCAGAGTGGTTGAAAGAATTTTTGTGGCTCGAGCTTAAGGATGGCAAGAATTACTGTAAAGTTTGTGCCATGCATATTAATGGAAATGTTTGTCATCTTAGGCGTCACGAGACAAGTACATCACATGTAACGAAATATAAGGCTGCAAAGAAGACTCCGCAAATTACATCATTATTAATACCAAATGAAGATGAGGTTCACTTGAGCAAAAAAATATCTTATGCAGAAGTAAAACTGTGTGCTTACATTGCCGAGCACAATTTACCCTTATCGTTAATGGATACTTTGCCTCAATTATGCCAAGATATTTTTCCGGATTCTACAATTGCCAAATCATTAAAAATTAAAAGGAATAAATGTACGGAAATAATTGTAAAGAAAATTGCTCCATTGCTTAGACAAGACCTCATCAATGATTTAAAAACAAGAAAGTTTTCCATAATCATCGACGAATCCACAGATGTGTCGACAAAAAAAAACTTGGCAATTGTTTGCCGATACTGGAAAAATAATAAAGTTGTGGATAATTTTTTGGGACTGGTTGAATTGGAAAGCTCAACTGCACAATCCATATTTAATGTGTTAAAAGACATTATGGACACTTCACGTATCCCATACAAAAACTTGGTAGCTTTTGGAGCCGATAACGCTGCAGTGATGCAAGGAAGTATAAATGGTGTACAAGCACTTCTAAGAACCCTATGTCCAAACATAGTTGTAATTGGTTGCAGTTGTCACTCGTTGCACTTATGTACTAGCCAAGCTACAAAAAAGTTGCCAAGTACAATTGAGCAATTTACGAGAGACATTTATGCTTATTTTGCACATTCATCAAAGAGGCTAAATGAGCTAAAAGAGTGCCAAGTATTTGCCAATGAAAAACCACACAAAATTTTACGCCCCAGTCAAACCAGATGGTTATCATTGCAGGTTTGTTTTACAGTTAAATCGATGCTATTCTCATATTAATTAACGTTATCATTTTAGGCAGTGGTTGATCGAATATTGGAGCAATGGAATCCTTTAAATTTATACTTCCAACGTGCTTCTTTGGAAGATAATTTGCCAACAGCAAAGGCAATATTAAATGCCCTTAGGAATCCAATTTATAAATTATATTTGTTATTTTTGTCACATATTCTTTCATTGATTAATAAGGTAAATCTAGATTTGCAAAGTGAGAAACCTAAGGCACCTATATTGTTGGAGGAACTACGCACTTTATATAAAACGATTCTCAAATATTTTATTAAAAAAGAGATTTTGGATAGGCAAGAAATAATCGATATCGACATAAAAAAGCCAAGTAGTTATATTGATATTAAGTCGATTTATTTTGGTGCAAATGCTGAACTATATCTGTCAAATCTCAATGAAAATGATATTACTAATAATGATTTGCATTCCTTTAGATTAAGATGTTTAGATTTTTATATAGAATTATGTACAGAAATTAGAAGAAGGTTTAATTTTAAGGACAAACATTTAAATTTTATTAGTAACTTTGTACCTAAAGTTGCATTATCAGGGACAAAATTATCATTAACTGAAGGATTCACTTTGTTTCCAGACATTAACCTGAATTATGACATTGTAAACCAGGAATGGCAATTGCTTAGTGAATCAAAAGAGTTGCACAAACATTCCCATAATTTAGAAGAATTTTGGTCCGCTGTTAATGTAACAAAAAACGAATTAGGTGAGCCTATATATGGAAATTTAATGGAATTGGTAACTGTAGGTTTAATTACACCTCACTCTTCTGCAACGGTGGAACGAGTTTTCTCTCAGATGTTCCTAATTAAAACCGATATTAGAAATTCATTATTAGTGGAAACTGTTGAAGCAATTTTGCATCTTCAAATATCAGTAAAACAATCTGGATCAACTATGTTGTGGGATCCTAGAACTTACAAAATTTGTTAACAAAACAATATATTGAATTAATACCAAAATGTTTTTCTAAAATAAATGTATCAACAAATGGGAAGTTTTTCATTGTTAGGTAGTACCTACCACCACATTATATGACATGAAATTCCCTAGATAGTAGATATTTCCAAAATAACACAATCGGTCATTTTCTTCCTGAATTAACGAAAAAAAAAATTTTATTACTAAGTCAATTTAGAATTGAAATATCTATTTAGTACACTGCAGCGAAATTCAGTACATTTTTGTTAAACCGTTGGTACGATAGTTTGACATCGAGTAACAGCGCTGCTTGCAGGTTGAAGTACTCCAAAAGTTAAAAAACAATTTGCCATGATACAGTATTAACTATTAATATGTCTTCAATCATAATTATTTGATAATAATATACTTTATTTATAAACATTCACATGTTTATATCAAGGTTTATATAGGAACCTAATATTGTCTTATGCAGCATAGAATAACGTTGACTATTATTTAATAAAAGAGAACAAACATTTGGCATTGTTTACATACATTTCATAATTCTATTAGGGTAACTGTAACAAATCAAAACCGATACCACAATAAATCATATTTAGTAACTTTTGTTGATTTATACTTAACGAATTTGTAATACGCAACACAACAGTAACCTCAATGTGATTAAAATCAATAAAAATACTTACATTGCAATAACAATTTCAGAGAGAATTTCATGAAATTTCTTCTGCGGTTCATCATTTACCAATTGGCTTCCTTCTATGGGTATAATTTTCATAACGGTACCAAACCCATCCGAATTTTTGTACAAGAACACTTCTCCGTATACTCCTTCGCCGATTTTGCGACATCGTTGTAAAATTCTATGACACATTTACGCTTAGATAACATCCTACATTCCGAGTACCATTAAAACTTACGTTGACGGATAACATTCTTCGAACGGTAGAGGTTTCTCTTGGCCACATTTTCTTAGAACGAGATTTCTCGCCCGTTCATAAGGCGTTTCCTCATAGATCGACTTATTCCTGGTTAAGTGAAGCGATTCGCCAATACTCTCTTCCTGGTATAAAGTTTCTGTTGTGCTGTCCGGACCATACGCAGTTTCTAACGAATTTGTTAAAGACAGGCATTTAAAGTTAAGCAAAAGTTCTTCTTGCAGCGTATAGAACATAAACGTTTTTTATAAACAACGCGATTTACACCAAACTTTGAAACAATGAGATGGACTTTAAGTTTTAACCTCTATTTATATGTTCGCAATATCTGTGACGTGTAAACCTTGAATCACCCCACTCATAAACTGATGATGACAAATGCGAATTTTTCCGAGTAATGATATACCGGTAATTACTTAGAAATTACTACTCAGACCTAAATAGTTACTAATTGTTTTCAATAATAATTCCTCACACAACTTTTACAAATGAACGTACTACGAAAATGAATTCATTTACAACGTCGACAGCATTTTTGTGAATAGGGTTGAGGTTCAGTGGCGTCTCATGTGTTAGGTGAAGTTGTGCAACACTGACCCTTGATAGCTATTTCGCAAATTTGATTATATTGAATTCGATCTAAAGCAGGTCAAATTTACATACTAGGGGTTTAAAAATATTATTTACAATTTTTATGACCGTTCGCATGTGAAATACGTCAAATGCGTGATAAAGATTTTTGTGACAGTTGTTGCTATGTTTACCTAACCACTAGTCCACTATATCTCCGTTAATGTACGGTTTCGCTGGAACCGTCTGCGGTCGCCGTTGACGGGCCCCAAGGGAACCACGTCCATAATAAATAACGGAGTGCAGTGGTCCGCCGTTGACACTTGACAGTGACCGTCACCGGCGGCCGTCGACGACAGAAGCTTTGGGGTAAAATACATGATGTACCAATTAAGCATGCCAAAAAAATTGTATTGGTAGTTGGGACCAAAACAAAAATTTCTTCCAAATAAACTCAAGGTCTAAATTTCAGAGCTACATCATCAGGATCCATAACATATCTGGGAATGGAATTTAACTATTTGGGTATGCCCTTGTTAAAATTCGCGTCAGTTAAAACATCAAATTATTAATTTTAATACAACAAATATTTGGTATCTAGATATCTTTGAACATGAAAATATTGAAACTAAATTTTTTAACTGTAATACTTCGTATGACTACGAAAAACTCCTTAGGTCAGTTTCAACTGAGCTCACGTATAGTAACTGTGGGGAAGTGACTGTGCTGTATTAGCGTTGTTTGGCAACGCAAAAATAATAAACAATTTTGTGTTTTCATATAGTATTGAAATTTTACAATCTTCTCTCTAATAAAAAGAAAGAATTAAATTTTCTATAGTAACGTACGTCTGATCCACTAGTCAAGGGCAAGTGTACAGGCTGGTTCAAATTCGTGGCTCACCATTGGGATCTCCGTAACGGTGAGAGATTCAGTGTAGGTTAAATGGAGCCAAAGTTGCCCCTTTTTGTGACTAAAACACGCTTTTGAAATTTTTGAAAAAACTTGGAAAATAACCGAGATATTTCGTTGGAAATAGACGGTGCCCGTTAGCAGTTTCAATGGGATCTTTTTTTGGGAGAATCTGAATCTGTTTTTAGAATTTCCATCGCACGCCAGATATAGAAGCTACTACATTCTTAATTCGAATGGGCGCCATATTGCATTTATACGGAATGAGATAGAGGAGAAAAAAAGAAAAATAATAACGAGTCACAGTCTATACTTTTACATAAATTTAGAAGGAAAATTTAAAATCAAATGTTTTACATTCATTTGTCATCAAAACACCCACGACCAACAGATCCTACTGAATCAGCAAGACTGTGATGGGAGATTCTTTTTTTGCCCTTTACCTATCTCTTTTCATAAAAATCCCTTTCGTTCGTAATTTTGGTCTTCCTGGTAGAGCACTGCTGCAATTCCGCGCCCGCTTATTTCTGTCTGGAGGCGGAATAGTTTTCCGAAGTCCGACCTGTGAAACTTTAGTGGGTGTCTGAGCGCTTCTGGAAGGCTCATCTGTATCTTCTGACCATATGTTGAAAGGGTCGTCAGGTGTTTGGATTGTTCTTCCATCAGAACATTCCAGTACACTGATTTTAGATCTAGCGTTGACAGCACCTTTGCTATTTCTAGGTCTCATAGCGTTTCCTGGATGACGGGTAATCTGCCACATTCATCCATGTAATAGCGCTCAGGCGGCGAAAGTCTACGCAGGACCTCAGCTTGTCATCCTTCTTGGTGACGACTTGTGAGCTGTAGCTTAAGGAACTTGACTTTATTATCCCATTTGCTAGCGGGTGATGACCGCCTGCTTCTCCGCGGAGCGTCTGTAGGCAGGAAGTCGGAAGGGGTTGCTGTGACGCAAACAGATTACGTGCTTCGTTGTTGAGGATGTTGACAGTGCCGGCTCAAAGGGTGTCGGGAGCTGATGATGGCTGCATTATTGGGTGGAGGGTTCTCCAATAACACTACTAGAATTCGCGTCCGTGCAGAGTGCAGCTGGAGGGAGGATCATTTTCATTCTGATTGAAAACAATACCCAGAAGGCCTCTAAAACTCCTGATGCTCAAACATTAAAGCTATTTCTGAACAATTATTGTAACGCGTTGTATTGCCGCACCACCTTGACTACAAATATGTAAAAGTGCTGGGCTTTTACATTGATGCACACTCATATAAATGCTTTGGGTAATAAACTTTCCAGTGAAGTATTTTTAGACGATTAAACTAGTCCATTAATTTCGTCACAGGTCTAGTTATTGCGTACCATCTTTGTTTTATTCCCCAATTTGGTATGGTTTTTGCGGCGGGGGGGAGGAGGGGAGTAGGATTATTATTGGCAAAAATTTAAACATTTTAACGTTACCAGGTTTGTATACCTACATTCACTTGTACAAATTCACAAAAGCAGTGCAATGTTTAAAAAATATTAGATCCACATAATCACAACACAAGATCATCAAATTCTAAATCAAATCTTTTAATATTACATAAACATAGACTCTAATATTTCTATCGATATTCAATTATATAGTTAAACTTCCCGCACTCTGCAAAACCTTGAATCTATCCGAATTTAAATCTCCATTGTTTTTCATCTCCTACACAAATCATGACAGATTCAAGCCTCATTTACATCTTTACGATTTCTTCAAATCTCATTTCAACATTACATCTACGTCATTTTTCTCACGCTCACCCTTTTCGTCTACTTCTTCTACACCTTTTTCTATACTCTATACCTTTGCCTCCCACCATCACCTATACTTCCTGCACTGCACGATTTCTTTGATCTTCCATTGTTTATCCTTCAACCCTTCCTCACGTTTCGATTACCTCTCCTTTGTCCCGCATGAGTTTTATTTTGTGTACATTCTGAGTTCATTGATGAAAAGGAAAACTATAGTGTCCCCACATAGGTTGCCATATTTTGGACATGTTGTGTAAAATCACAACTGCACACAATCTGAAACCACTTACTGTATACTGTATAGTCTACTAAAATGGAATCTCTTCTAAAAGAGAAACCAGCCCCAATTTAATAATACGAGCCCTAACACATAAATGTTCGCACATCTAGCATTTTTAAAATAAAACCTAAAAAAAAATAAAACCAGTCCAATGTCAATAAAGCCGCAGATATCTTACATAGAAATATGTATTATAAGTATATTGTTTATGTTTAATTAATACCAAAAAAACAATTTTTTTAATGCTCTCACAACATAAAAATGAGAAAACCAGCAAAATTAACTGACACATAAATGTTCGGACACCACATATATTTGATAGTTTGATCTAGGTAACAGGATAAAAACCAAAAAAATTATAATTTTTATAACTTGTCAGCACACTTTGACATTTTGTTAAAAGAAAAATGGCACATGGCAAAGCAACACGGAAAGAAATTCGACAATTAATAATTAAATAGGGTTCATAAGGGAAAGTCCTTTAGGACATTAGGTCAGGAATTCAATTTGCCAATGTCCACGGTGGTAGATATTGTAACAAAGTATATGGGAAAACAGCATCAATCGAAGTTGAAGGAAACAACACAGGAAGACGGCCAACAGTTACCCCTAGAATGCAGAAAGCGCTGATAACCATTTGCAATCTGGACGAAGAGACACAGTACGGAATCCTACGGTAAAATGGAACGAAGTAACAAATGCTCATGTTTCTACCTAAACCTGTCGAAGGTGGATCCACAAATCAGGTTTAGATTTTTATAAAGTAAGTTGATCTTTAGGTTAAAATGATTGAGCATTAGAAAATACTTTTTTAAATAGGCGAAAGAAGAACATCTTTAAAACACAAAAATAGTAAAGAAGAGGTTGGATTGGCTTCCGGAACGGCCAGTGTGGTCTTACCAAGACTGGTAAAAATCATTTTTAGTAATGAATCTCGATTTGATATCAATGTAGGCGATAATCGAGAAAGAGTTATCCAAACGGAAAAACAATGCATTTCACAAAGATTGCTTAAAGCGTTCTGTAAAATTCCCCAGTGGTGAAACGGTGTGGGGCAGTATGTCTGCAAATGAGCTGGGACAATTGCACTTAACAAATGGTAATGTTTATGCTCAAAAATATCAAGCAATTTTAGACCAAAGTTGATTGCCTTCCCTTGCGACATTATCACCTGATGCAGACTTTGTTTTTCAACAAGACGGAGCATCAAGTCACAGGAAAAAATGGAAGAAATGGTTACAAGACCACAATAATAGTGTTTTGGAGGTGCCCTCAAGCAGTCCAGATCTCAATGTCATTGGAACAGTGTGACAAAATGAAGCAAACTTTGCCATATTCATCCGCAACGCAATATTGCTTCTTTGAGTGAAAAGTGACAAGAGATTTGGGATACCTTTGGCATCGATCAATTAAAATAAATAAACATACAATGATTTTTAAGTTACAACATTTGTAAAATTTTGAGTGTCCGAACATTTATGTGTTAGGGCTCGTAGCAGCTCTTGTGTAGAAAAGATGGGCAATTACGTTAGGGGTCTAAAAGTCATTTTTAACATAAAAATTAAAATATGTCAAAAACGGCTAAATTTGTATGTACATAAAATGTATTACAGAATTTAACATAGAA